ATTGTCCATTCATATGTACGGCCTATGTTTTGCATGTGCAGCCTAAGTACCGAAAGTGTCGCTGTCTGTGCAGTTTACATGTGGATCTAGGGTTAACATGAAGTTGCTACACTAGCGATATTGTCACTGCACTAAAATAGTTTATCGCCGTGTGATCAAATAAGTTATGAGGCTAAATTAACGTTAGTGAGGGGGATACATTTTACCCATGTGCGTAAATGAGCAGTAGTTCATTAGCCACACATCTACTCAAACTTGGTTGATAGAACTAGCCCGGCCCCCGAGAGAACCTGAAATCTGCTGAAGTCTTACGAGACACTGACACGATACAGACAGGACATTGGCTCTTGCAGGAGACATCCGCCATTGAGCGCAGGGAGACACTCTGCTCTTTGGTGGGAACTCCACTTTGTTTTGAAGCTACGTAGCACAAATTACAATATGTCACACTGACAGCTGAATTTACGAATTACGACTTGTCTGTTTTCAGTTTTCAGTGCTTTGTCTCCCTTCGCCGCCCACACCAGCCCCTTTTTATGCCTCAGCTTTGGTCCTGGAGCCAAGCAGGAGTTGACTGATTGACCATCGATGTAGACACGCTACTTGAAAGACAGCGCTAACCACAAACCCCGATCACGTAAACACTGTTGGAAGCCAAGGCCAGCAGAATCCCTCGTGTCTCCATGCCATCCGCAGTTAGGCAGAGTCGGCTCTCATGTATCTGTGGTCGCCCGCCACTGCCGCCACTTCCTCCCATTGCAAGGCTGCTTGAAAACCACGCCACTGTGAGCTCTATTTCCTCAACTTTTTTTTTTTTTTTTTTTTTTTCATTTTTGTGCGACTGGAATTCACATAACCCTGCGGTATTGCTGCCGGAGTTTGGGATTTCCATAATCTCAATGTTTATCACTTAAATCAACAAAAATAAGTTCAGTGGAAGCAGAGGCGTGCGTGCCATGTCAAAACTAGACGTCTCCTTTGTGTGGGTTTTACCAGAAATGGCACAAGTTATGTTAGAATTACATAGCAATCCGATTCAAAGTAAACTTATGCAATTGAGGTGTTTTTACATTCCTATATTATGTGAAATTGACTCTTGTGAGTTTTAAGCCATGTTTTAATGTTGTTACCTCATCAAAAACATACCTGGAGTTGTGTATGTTTTATTCACATGCTCTGTTCCACCCTTTGATGTCATGCAGTGGTCATTTTAAAGTTAATAGACACCTTTTACCTTTTGTCCAGTAGAGATTAGCAATTCCAGGGATGAAATTATCTACATGATTTTAGTGAAGTTGCATGGAGTTTAAAATACAACCACATAACCAGGGAAAACAGTGTTTTCTGTTTTAGAAAAGAACTCAGCCTAAATATGCAGGGTTTGTGTGTTAAACATGTGTGAATGAAACAAAACAAAACTCCAGATATGTTTGTGACAAGGAAACAACATTATAACACAGATCCGAAAATAGTGCAAAATAGGCCTTTTAACAATGGATACTGAATGATCTTGTCAAACTTCCTTATTTACAATCAGGGACTTGGAGTGGCCAAACAAACTGAATCATGTTTTATGTTGACTTAACAGGAGCTGACAGGGAGGTTAGCTGATGCCAAAGGGCTAAGTGCCAAAAAGGATGTTAAATACTTTGCAGTGACATCATGCTGGGGGTGCCCTACATGTATCTCTATGGTGGAATGTTAGAGATACATCCATCTAGTGGACCATGCAGGAAAGCAAAGACAAGGTATAAAATAAGTTTAAATGGTAAAAAAAAAAAAAAGATTTAATTTAACAAAGGCTCACATTACGTAGCCTGATTCATCAGCCAGTTTCACTTCCTAGAAACAGTCTGACCTCGCAGCATTAGGATTCATTCGCTCAACGGTAGGTGGGTACTTTTTTATTTAACCAATCGCTGCTATTTGGTTGTGGTGTATGTAATGCGCCAAATCCCATAGGAAAAAGGCAATAACATCATTCCCCTTGATAAAATTCACCAAACAGTCTCTTGGATCCGGCTTTAGATCCTCAATCTCGGGAATCGTTGCCAACACAGAATGTATGGCTTCGTCTACATCCATCTCAACTCGATCTCGCTTTTGGGACCCAGACAGGTGCTTGAGTTTGACGTCATGGGTTCACAGCTCTTCACTGACTGGCCGGTGCACAACTTCCGGGGTTCTTGCAAACCGTCTAGTGTATTCCTGGCCCAGTCGCTGGAGAAAAATGAAATTGAGCGGAGGCACTAGGTAGCGCCAGACTGGCTACACATTAGGCAAATCATTAACAAAAAGACAGGCCCAACTCCAGTAACTTAAATCAAACTGAACAGAACAAAACTAACCAAACCAGACAAAGGAACAGGGGTGTTTAAATACATAAGGGCCGACTAAAACTGAACACAAGAGTTGGGAAATACACTACATAATTAACTAAAACTACTAACTTCTGTATAATGCAGAAAATAATAAGTGAAAATAAAGTAACCTTAAACAAACTAGACCAAGCGTATCCAACCTTTTTCCTCCGGTGAGCAACCTTTACAAAATGAAAATGCCAGAGAGCTACTATTTTTAGCGGTCTCAAGAAACGATGTATATTGAAGAGCCACGCAAGCCTTAAATGACATACAGTTAGATGCCTATAAAACATAAACCATTATTCATTTATTAGTGTGTACAAAGTTAGGCATCAAAATAATACATGTACAATGCTAACAGACATTTAATTAATCAAATTTTACTTATTCAGGACAATACGTGTAATTTAGAAATCCCTTGGCGAGCTACTAGGAAAGGGTTGGCGAGCTACCAGAAGCTCCCGTGCTACAGGTTGGAGACCCCTGAACTAGACAAACGGACTTAGTAAAAACGAAATAGTGTTCCCCCGTTTGTTCGGCATGGATGGTCTCTGCCAAGGGTCCTCCGTCTGGCCACTCAAACAAAAAAAACAGCAAGTATAAGTAATTGATTCAGGCTTATATTAACTAAAATGTGTGCACCCAAATTAGAATATAAGTCTAAATAAATTAATGAAATTAAGCTATATGTGCTGTAATTAACTTAAAGTAAATGAAATAATACTAACAGTACGGAGTGGTGGCAGAAGTATCCACCACACAGAACAGCAGTTACCATGGACACACAATGCACACAGTGCTCTTCAGACAAGTAGTGCCTTCAGTATGTTGACGTCATCGGCTGCAAAATATGAATAGAATACTTCAAAATACACCAAGCAATACAGTGACCACCAGCACAGAGCAGCGAGCATCCATTTCCAGTTTTCATTTGCTTGTTTCTCCTCTTTCTGCAGTGATTGGCGTAACATTTTTTCCTTACACCCATGTTATAATTTAGGCTTAAACTTGGCTCATTTTTATTCCCACAGACGAATGCTTTATTTTCTTTGCACTCAATAACTTTTGTTGGTTTTCGGATTTAATTGTCGTTCGTTGCCAAGACACTACCGATTTCGCAGTTGAAAACCTTTGCCCATTATAATTTCAAAACATGCAATAAAACTGTGGAGGCACTACAAACCTTTTTCTAGTGATAATTTTTCTATAAAATACAAACTGAAGTGAGGCTGAGATAAAGCAGCAGATCTTGATTCTTGCGTCATACTGGGTGGGCAACGGATGCGATAATTAAAGGTCCTTTGCATTATTCAAGCTTTTGGAACTACTTTTTGGGTGACTTAGAACTGTTTTGGTTTTTTGTTTTTTCCACATTTCCTCATTTTCCACATAACATTACAATCCATAACCTATGAATAACAAGTCATTTTCCGTTTTGTCACCGTTTTGTCACCTGCTAATGATTCTACCTCTTGCGATGTAATGTAAACTTTCTCAGCTCAGATTTATAACTGTGTATTTTGTTGGTATATTTTGTTGTTTGACAATGACAATAAAATCTTGAGTCTCCCCGTCTCTGCCCATTTTAAGTCTGTGAAAAACCTTGGAATAGCCTGTAGATACAACCAGTATGGTGCAGACTGCCCCGATATTAATCCAATATCTGAATATCTGAATATGATGGCCCAAAGTTAGAAATAGAAAATAAAAAGAAAGATTAAAGTGGAATTACAACAGGAACACCTAAGATCACATAGTTCCACAGTTCAAGGAGGTAGGTAGACTGGGTAGTGCCTATGTAGAGTGAGAGGTGAGGAGGGTCAGAGTCTAGAGGTGAGGAGAGGTGGGGTCAGGAAGTGAGGAATGGAGGTGAGGAGGGGCTGGATCTGGAGGTGAGGAGGGGCGGGGTATGGAGGTGAGGAGGGGCGGGCTATGGAGGTGAGGAGGGGCAGGGGCTGGAAGTGAGGTCTGGAGGTGAGGAGGGGCTGGATTTGGGGGTGAGGAGGGGTCTGGCGGTGAGGTCTGGAGGTGAGGAGGGGCAGAGTTTGGAAGTGATGAGGGGCGGGGTTTGGAGATGTGGAGGTGTGAAGTCTGGAGGTGAGGAGAGGCAGAGTCTGGAGAACTAACACTATGTTCACAAGACAGATAAAGTGGCTCTCCTGTGCTCAGTTCTCTCTCGTGTTGTCTCCAGCCCTCCATAGGAAATTAACCAAGAGCAGGGCTCAGTAGGAGCCTGTCAATTGTGTCAAAAGGTGTCTGCTGAGTGGCTATTCCCTCATCCATATTGCTCCACATTTGAATAGAGTTGACTTCAGTTCGACTCCCTTCAGCTTCCATTGGAAATGAAAGGGAGTTTGAGTTCCTTAAGTCTCTCTTGTTGTGAGAGCTGTGTAAATGGGAGAGCAGGGGTGGGCTCTGGAGGATTAAAGGGGAAAGTGAAGAGAGGAGGATCTGGACATAAAAGGAACAGTGTGATTGATCTAACAGGTATCCACACTTTCTAATTACAAACATCTGGCTTTAACTAGCACAGTGCAGTGTGATGTCACATAATACTTGAAATAGCAGCAGCCACTGGAGGCAGCACACACTCAGTTGGTAAATGGTATACATGTATGAATTAACAAATACTATATAGACAATTTATTAATTTTATTTGTATGTACAGGCAACAAACGGTGAAGTAAACAACCAAAATATCCAAAAAGGGATAAATGCAGTTGGCACAAATTAAATTATCATTGTAAACATTTACATACACACAAAAACACAAAAAGATGACAGCCTTCTTTGGATGTGCATTGGTATAAAATTTAAGGAGCTGTAAGCTTATATACAATACGTAGGTTTTGTATAGTATTTTCGCTTAACAGAATTGCACGTGCCATTTAAATAGCCTATTTGACACAAATAATTTGACAGTAATGCACAGTGAAATGTGGACACACAATTAAAGTGATTCCGATGAAGACTCTGATATTGTAATAGCTATAATACAGTAGAATTGTTCCTTTTTCACAGTACTTAACAGAAATTTGTAAAATGTGTAAAAAAAAGTAATTTCATAGAAATTCAACTAGAATTGGTCTTATTTCTATTTTAGACGTATCCTACATGAACTGTGAAATTCATTATCCCAATCAAAACTGCAAAGGTAATCTCTCTGGCTTTCAATCAAACCAAAAGCAATTCCAAATTTTTTCTGATACTGAGATAAAAAATAAATAAATAAATAAGAAAAAGTTAAATTACAAGGCAAAATGTACCCTCTCCTACCTTTAAAATACACAGTAGATATCAAATGACTTTTATGACTCCTAATTGAATGCACTATAAAACGTTTAAAGGGATATTTGTGTTTTAAATGTAGGTAATTCAGTTAGCTAAGAATGTAATATGTACTATGAGGGGCTCTCATCTTATATCTTTGCTTTATGAAATGATACTTAGACACTATTGTGACATTACGATTACCTTGACTGAAAAACCTGGCTTATAAATGACAATCATCTCTATCTATTAATTATTATTAAATTCATATAAACAAGCAACTACATACGGATTCCTCACATTCCTTTTGTATTTCTTCATAATCGAAAGGCATACTAAATACATTATCACCTGTTGTCTCTGTGAACAAGGAGATATCCAAAAATTAATGTCAAAATTTTTGTTCATGCTAAACTGAGTTTAAGTATATATAAAACTATTTTTTTTAAATGTAAAAATGAAAAAAAAAAACAGTCCATTCATTTTTTGCAATACTTGAACCTCAACCTTTACAGGCTTATTTAGGCATATTTCTGAATAATTGGCATCAATATCAACTGAGTAACATCAGGATAATCCAAAAAAACAGATACTATTTTTGTCAATATCGTCTACCCATCCCAATAAGGCAGTTTATCTTTGACCGAGACAGAAGATAGAAGAAACAGAATTAGACCTATCCTAATTAACTCATTACGGTGCAGTATGTGACTCTGGTATTTGGGTCTGCCACCTGTTTGCCTTCTTATGAATGAAAATGCATGATTGTGCAGATGATGTCCCGAGTCCGAGTTACAGATCAGATCTGTAGGCCAATGCCCTTACAGTAGGAATGCATGTATTCAAGGGGTTTTGAAGCAATAAAAATGCACAATAGACCTAACAATACTGGAAAATTTCAAAAAGACTGTCTTGTGAGGCCATGCTATAACATGGTTAAAGCTCAAAAAAGTAAGTTTTGAGTTAATAATATGTATAAGGTCATACCGTGGAACATTCCAGATAATGGAATAACATCTCAGTTAAGACGAGCAGGTGGCAGACCCCCACCAGAAAATGTAGACAGTGCACCTTTAATTCTTCACTTTTATTTTACAGCAGACGACTTTGACCAGTAAACAGCGTTACACTGTGACAGAGTTTGCGGGCTTGCCTTCAGAGTAGTCTCTTCATGCGGTTGGTGTGCTTCCCTATCTGCATGGTGGTCCTGTCGGCAGAGTTGGTCAGAACATCCAGGACTTCATCTTGCCTCTCCAGCTCTGTCTCCGCCTCGAGGGCCAGGCTCTTCAACTGCTGCAGCATCTGGCAAAATAAACAGTACACACTTGTATTTACATTCGTGCTCTCTGACCCAATTAGACCTAGCAACCGCAACGCAAGTGAACAAAACGTACACATTCTTGACAATTGAAAGCTTTGGCATCAGACTAGGACACATTTGCTCCAACTTCCCAGTTCAAATTTCACATATAGTAAAGAACAGAAGCTGAAATAATTGCAGTGTCCTCAAGTTGCTGTAATAAAAATATTTCTGTTCATGCTTAATATTTAAAGAAAATACTGATAGTGATTTTTGGCGGACAATTTGATGGTAGTTTTCAGCTAATATTAATTTTGTTTTGACATACATTTTTGACCGTTGCCTTAGTTCACCTTTTAAAAGATTATTGATGAAAAAAAAAGTGCAAATACAGTTGAACAGAAAAAACATGCGGCGGCATGGAGACAAATGAAGGTGCAAACTCACAAATTTGCAACAAAAAAGTACAGTGTAACTTTTCTGGTGGAGAGTCTACCACCTGCACGTCTCCATAAAAATGTTACTACTATGCCTGGTATTAAACGTATCTACAAATATTAGGGATGTAACGATATCAAAGTCTCACAATACAATATCGTCACGGTATGAACCTCACGGTACGATATTTATTGTGATATCATGGCGAAGCTCACGATATGGTGGGAAGGTTCAGGATTAGGAATGTAACAATGTCCAAATCTCTCAGTAGGATATTGTCACGATATACATCTCACGGTATGATATTTATTGAGATATTTTGTGGAGGCTGCAAACAAAACTGTTAATATGCTAATGTGCTCTTAAAATGCCTTGACAAGACTTAATCCAAAGAACTAAAACTTAAAAGTGCTTAGAACTGTTATTTCTTCATGTAGTCTGCACTGAAATGGAGCAAAGGATCATGGTCTATGTAGTCCCCTCTTTTTTTAGCTGTTGCTGCACCATAACTCTTAATTTAAGCAAAGAGACTTTTAATTCGATATATTGTCATGATCCACGATATTATTGTGAGAACTTTGACGATACAATATTGCAATATTTCGGTTATTGTTACATCCCTAATAAACATCCATAATGGAACAAATATAAATTACATTCTAGTCAAAACAGCACCAGGAAGGTAAATGGCAACAATGTGAATGTTATTATTTTATCATCTGTCACAATCATTTTAAAGCCATAGTGTGTAACTTGAGGCAGCGTGTCACCTGCATGATTTCATGGAAATGGAAAGGTAAAACCATACTTCGGAACATTCTCCAAGGAGAAAGATACGTTTTATGCCAAACTGTGGGCACGTTGGCCAAAGAAACTAAATTTCTATGGAAACAAACAGGAGGAACTGTTATATCAATTATATCTTATGCCATATGATGAACAATTTAAAACAAAATATTACACATTTCAAATTCAGAGAAAGTCCTCAAAATGTTGCAAAAAAACTGGAAGTTGAAACCATGAATAGCGCGTTATAGCTCCCTGTATGCCCAACTACTGTATATGTTATGGTTGATGGAATGCCCCAAATGTATTACAATGTGCCAAGCCAAACCTCATAATAAAATCAGTCTATAGCCCACCACCACGGCTTCAAAACTAATATTATGTCTTGCTTCACGCGCACATACTGTACACAGCCTGGGAGATGATGTCAGTTGGACCAGTCAATAATATGTTATGGTTTAATCTGGGCTACAATGACGCCATCACACCTTGCAGAATATTTTTAGCTTTTGCTTACAAATCGCCAAGGAAACCCAAGTCGCATAGAAAGCGTCTAACTCAAACATTTAGGCTAGAGGTAAAAATGTATTAAAAAACTCTGCTTAATCGCCAAGTTTTGTTTAAAGGTGCACTGTGTAACTTTGCTGGTGGAGGGTCTGTCAAATGCTTTTCTTCATGGTGATGTTATTGCTTTGTCTGGAATGTTTCACAGTATGGCATTAAACCTTTCTATCATCACTGAGACCAAACCAGACAAAGTTACAGGTCAGATCTGTGGAGAGGCAGTTTTTTTGTTTGTTTTTGAGCTATAAAACCACCTATAACTGAATAAAGGTAAGGTAGAGCTGCTTAACGTCATACTGTGGAACTTTCTTAAGCAGAGAAATGACATCTCCATAGAAGCAAGCAGGTGACGGACCCCCAACCGAAAAGTTATGAAGTGCACTTTTAAAATTGAACGCGTAAATAGGAAATAAAAGTGCTGCGTCATCCTTTCGAGTGACCCCATTTGCACTGGTTAAAGTTGATGTTACAAAACGTACTACAGAGATTGAAAAGTGAATATTTGCCAGAGCACTTAAGTCTCCGCGGCGGGCTGTAGATTGCAATCTGGACATGAATTACATTAAGAGCAGGGTGTGTGCGAGACCGTAGCATTAGGGCCCAACTGGAGGGCTTTGAAGTTGGAAGCCGTTATCAAGTCCTCACAGTGCGCCATTTATAAGCACAATAGACAAGGCAGAATAAATGGCTGACTCAGTGTTGTCATTGATAATAGTGTTTAAGATGTGAGGCAGTGACCCAAGGCGGCTCACGTTAACATCATACGGGCCTATATTATCTGTGGAGATTTAATAAAACAGCTAATTAAATGTCAAAGGGTAACAAGAGATGTAGTGTCTTCGTCAAGGCACTGGTTTGTGTTGCAATGGGAAAGAAGGAAATGCTGCTAGAATTCAAACTTTAGTACTAAAATTTGTAAAAAATGTATGCCCGTTTAGTTACCACATACCAAGGAATTTTCACAAATATTCCATGTAAGTAATATATTTCCCTCACCAGCCGGTCCGTTCTATATTTTGATCGAATCCAGACTGGAACTGGACAATAAGAGTGTGAAAAAATAATAATAAATTGAAGCACACATCTTTCAAATTCAGAAGACATCTCCTCTTAGAAATTCTTGTAACATTCAGAACTATATATATCACTTCTTTTACTTGAAATAAGTAATGGTTTGGTGCTTCGATTGCTAATGCTCTCCCCTTTCAGTAGCAGCAAGCTTAAATTGTTGTGAGATTTGAGTCAGAAACTTTCACACTTTCCAGCCATATCTGTTTGGCTTTATACAACTTTTATATACTTCTATTATATTAAATAAAATGCAAAATAAATATAATAATTTTTTGTAACTTTTCTAGTGGAGGGTCTGCAACTTGCTTGACGTTATTGATTTGCCTGGAATGTTTCATAGTGTGACATTAAATATATCAATCTTGCATTATTTCATTGCCACTCCACAGATCAAACCTATAACTTGGCCTAACTTTGCTCGTCTCTACCACCAATACCACCAGCTCTAAATCATACAACGGGTCTACTCCAGGCCTAATCTAACACTAAACCAGGACTACATCATTTCCACTGTAGTTCTAAACACAAAATCATATATAGGACAACAAAAAAAGTGAGTAAATTGAAACCTACATACTGAAGAGCCGTCCAAGTGCCACCTGAATGAGCTTGCGTACCACAGATTGAGAAACACTAGGCTTGTCACGATAACACATTTTGAAGTGCGATATATTGCTGGAGTAAATATAGATGATAAAGGATAACATGGAAACCAAACCATAAAGCACAATTATCCCTCAAAAATATTCTAAATGTACAATATTGTTAGAAAACGAGCTGCTACTACTATACTTAAATAACAGAATACCACACTTAAGTAATTAGACCTTATAGTTTTAGTTCATAATCCAACCTTCAATACCCTACCTATAATGCAAAAAAAAAACTTCCAAAAAACCCACCAGTACAAAGAAAAAGTACTCACGATTAGAGGTGTAACGATATCCAAGTTTCACGATACAATATCGTCACGGTATGATCCTCACGGTACGATATTTATTGCGATATCATGGGAAAGCTCATGATATGGTAGGAAGGCTCACGATTAGGGATATAACAATATCCAAATCTCTTGGTACAATATCTTCACGATATATACATCTCACAATATGCAAATAGCATATTCACAAAACTGTGAATATGCTACTTTTTCCTCTTAAAATGCCTTGAGAAGACTGTTTAGAACTGTTATTTCTTCAAGTAGTCTGCACTGAAATGGAGCAAATGATCATGGTCTATATAGTTCTCTGTCTTTTTTAAGCTATTGCTGCACCATAACTTTTAATTTAAGCAAAGAGACTTATAATTTGATTTATTGTGATGGTGCACGATATTACTGTGAGAACTTTGACAATACGATATCACAATATTTCAGTTATTGTTATATCCCTACTCGCGATAAATCCCCCAGAATTATTGTTCTATCTTTCATGTACTGAACGATAAATTAGTCAAATATTAAAGATGCACTGAGTAACTTTTGTGGTTGAGTGTCCGTCAAATGCTTTTCTCCACTTTTCTCCATAGAGATGTTATTGCTTCGTCTGGAAGGTTTCGCAGTATGGCATTAAAACTTTCTATCTTCATGGAGACTAAACCAGACCAAGTTACAAGTTACAGAACTGTGTAGAGGCGACCCCCGCTCACAGTCAAAATTCTTGTTTTTCTACGTATTTTTGAGTTATAAAACCACGTATAATCTAATAAATGTAAGTTAAATCTATATAATGTCATACTGTGGAATATTTCAAGCAGAGGAATGATATATTCATAGAAACAAGCAGGTGACGGACCCCTAACCAAAAAGTTACATAGTGCACCTTTAAGAAACCTAAGAAACACTACTAAATTATACAATTGGTGCTATTTAACATGCGTTGCTGTTAGCTTTATATTGTGCGTCTCCACCACATCCAGGCCAGTGAGCAGTGTTGCGAGACTGTGAGTGGAAAGACACCGTTGAGTTTGTCCAAACAACTGACCAAGCCTCTTTTCCCGTCGTAAAACCTGTACGGCCTTTGGTTTGAGGTCTCACCAACTAGCATTTAAAAGAGACCGGATCAAATATAGTCAAGTGAAAATCATATTAAAATTTGGTTTGGGAAAAAATGATCAAAATACATGTTGCTAAAGCAGCGGTCAGACATGAGGCAGCTTGTTTCCAATGTAAAAAGATTTAATAATAAATCTTTTGCTGTATTTTTTTTCCACATTTACGATACTTTTGGCTACTCCACCCATGTTTATATACAAGTGCTACCTAGGAATTGGTATTAGAATTTCTGTACATTATTATTCTGTACATTTATTGTTTGTCATATGGTGATTCGGTGTGGTAAATTATCCTTTCCTGTTGTAACCACATTTTGTGACTCGAGTAGGCAAGAAGTAACTTAACATAAAAGGCTCTGTTGGCGCATCTGTCTTAATTATTTTTAGACATTATATTTAATGGTCCTATATTACACAAAATTGATTCTTGTGAGCTTTAAGTCATGTTAGAATACTGTTACTTTATCAAAAGCATACCTGGAGTTGTGTTTTGTTTCATTTACACATAAATTAACCCTTTATTATCACATTACATCACTAACTAAATATAAACTACCGTATTTTTCAGACTATAAGTCGCACTTTTTTCCATGGTTTGGGTGGTCCTGTGGCTTATACTCTGGTGCGACTTATATATTAAAATTTTCAGACTGACAGCCGCAAGAGGGCGCTCTAGACTTGTGTGTCAGTATCTGCTGCTACTATTACTCCTGTACCACTTTCACTTCACTCTGCTGCGCATGCCTCCTGTTTATAAAGCCGCTGTCTTTCTGCAAATAGTGAAATATGCAGCCGAAAACGGTAATCAAGCAGCAGAAAGAAAGTTTGGTGCCAGTGAGAAACTTGTGAGGGACGGGCGGAAAGCAGGGATGGAGAACACAGCTTCACAGTAACTGGGAGGGTGCGACATGTAACTTTCCTAGAAGTCACTGGATGAATCAACAAAGCCGAAACCATCCTATCGGGATTCAGAAAGGCCGGAATAATTCTAACTGGAACTGCTGCTGAGTTTGACAACAGCTATGCAGAAGAGGAAGCAGTGCTCTGTTTACATCATGGATCTACGGTTTATCTCCAGAGGTCGCGCAGAAGTGACACAGGATGAAGAATTCAGTGGATTTAGTGATCTGGAGTGAGATCATGAGTTTGGTAAACTTATGTTGTTTATGCTATAATTATCTGAATAACTGTTAATATGTCACATATTAACATATTAACGCCTATTCAGCCTGTTGCTCTCTATTCTGTTGGTATTACTGTAACTTGCCTTTCAAGGTGAAATGTCGGTTCCTGGTCTCAGATTTTATAAAATACCTTTCCCCAAAAAGTGTGACTTATATATGTTTTTTCTTCTTCATTGCGCATTTTTTGGCTGGTGCAACTTATACTCCAGAGAGACTTAATAGTCCGAAAAATACGGTACAATGTTGAAAGTGACATGCTACTGTCTAAATAAGTGTTTTTCATTATCATTGTGATAATCAGAATGGGTACTGAGTATTGCCTTAGTAGCAAAATAGAGTTTGAAATTTTAGTATCGTGACAACCCTAGTCCACACTGCCCACCCCTGAGTCTGACCAGTAGGGGGTGACTATGATTCCTTGTGGCTCACCTGTTTGAGTTCCTGCGCCTCCTCCTGGCTCACACTCTGCTGCTGAACATGCACCTGCAGTTGGGACAGTCCTCCTCCGGCCGGGACCTCTCCGGGCAGCTCAGAGTCCTGACCCCGGATCGGACCTGGGACAAGGCACAGGGCATATGGATTGTTTGTGGGGAAAGTAGACAAACAAATGGTGAGTGAGTAGGCCTGTCACAATAACAAATTTGAAGTCCAGTATATTGCTGTAATATTATAGATAAACCTCATATAAGTTATAAATTCAACCTCTTACAGCAACATCTTATGTAACCAAAAAATGACCCAAAATTTCTGACTAGTGCAAGGAAAATGTATGGACGATAAATACTGGCCCCAAAAAATATTGCTCCAGCATTCATGTATTGAACGATAAGTCGATAGTAATTAGTCATAGTAATTATTGTGACAGGCCTAGTTGTGAGCAGAGCATCCAGGCTGAAGTGACTCATACGTTTGTCTCAGGGAAACAGTTACAAGTGGGCAAAGGTACGTTTAGTTCAGCCACTGCTCTACTCTGGGAAAATATCAAACATTTTGTTCTGCTGCCATCCTGTGGATAAATGTAGGAAGGGTGGGCAGATGTACTAGCAAAGTGGCAGTTACAACTCAAACTTAAATTGCATTAGTTATAAAGTAGGTGTCAGCTTTTGAAGATCAACATCAATTTATTTTCATGTGTGTACAGACTATACATAATAATCAAGGATTTGTCTTTTCAGACTACTTAAAACTTATTATTCTTTCTGAAAATTCTGAATATTTCCAACCTTTTTTTCTTTCTTTTAAAAAAAAGGAGTTTCAATTTTAGAATGTGAATAACATTTAAACAAATTATGCAACTAAAACTAACCTTCTAAAATGTTCAAATGCATATGTCAATTTGTAATTAATACTGAAAGTAAAAATATAAATGTTTGAGCTTGTTACCTTGGAGCCCACCCGGTGGGTCAGCTGGAGATGTGACAGGAGTTGCCTTGAACACATTGTACTCGGGACTAAATTCAACCTTCTTTTTATATTGCATTTCCAGAACCGCCATGGCCTCGGGCATCTTCGCCGACAGCAACCTGAAGCAAATATCCGGCCTCCCTATGAACCTCTGCCTGATGCTGATCTCGTAGGGACTGTGCACTCGAATCTCGTCCACTTCGCTGCGTTCAAATCGGTGGAGCAGCGTGCAGTTTGTGTCTCGGACTTCCACAGAGGAAACCAGCACCAGGAGGCAGCCGGGTTTGAGGTCAGAGTCTGCTCCCTTAGAGACCACAGCGGGGATACTGCTGATGACCCTGCTCCTCACCGGGCCTCTGTTCGCTGCTGCTGCTGCTGTGGAAGCCGCCCTTGCTGCGTCCTCCGCCTTCGCCTCCTGCTGAAGCTTCCAAGGGAGTTTCCCAAAAGGCCACCATGAAGGGGACTCCAACTCTGATAGAAGTCTGGAACAGGGACCAAGAATTTAGATTTTTTTATCGGGGAAAGACAGCATGATTCCATCAAATCAAAACGTGCATGTAATAGAGAGCCCTGTATCTTGTCAGTCACTACTTCATCTTTGCACTGTTTCCATATATACAAACTCTTGCAGATATAGCTGAGATATATATTTTATTAATATTGGTATATTCTATAGTTTGTATTTTTACTTGTACTTATACATTTATATAATAATGCTTTATTTCACACCAGTCTTGTTATTTTTTGCTATTTTTGCTAGTCTTGTATTGATGTGTGAGCTTCTGTGTACGAATCATTTCCCTTGTGGATCAATACAGTTTGTCTAAGTCAAAACATGAACAAATTAAAGCAAATTAAAGCTATGTAAATTTCCTGTGGAGGTTACTTGTCTCCATGGATCTATTATTGCTTTGCTGGGCTGTTCCACAATATGGCATTAAGTGCATTTATTTAGCATTTTTCCACACACAGATGTTTTATTTATCAAGAATATTTAGAAAAATGTGCATTCTAAATGATAAGCGGGCACACCTCTCATTATATGTCTGACTTGCCTTGGTGGCATCACTTTGTTATGTCCATGGAGATAGATATAATGCATACTGTAGAACATTCCAGACAAAGAAATAACATCTCCAAGCAACCTAAACTAAAGACAGTGGGGAAAATTAATGACAAATGTAATTCAGGAGTTAAACGCAAACTGTCACCATTGATCTTCATGGTGGCTACATTTGCCACTTGTTGCCTAGCTACTGTCATACGTTCCTGTTGACTATTTGCCAATGTCTAACCTTGCACTCTAACTCCACTGCCTCGATGGATGGCCAAGTAAAAATACCACACGATGTGCAGGAATAAAGTAGGCCATACACACAAACATAAACAACTTTGAGTGTTGGTGTTGGTGTTGCAGTCAGCAGAAATCGTGAGTGTATCAGAGCACTACTACACACTCAATTAATCACACTATGAAAGCTCCAGTGTTAATGTTCTCTGATGCTGTCCTACTTGGTCATGTTATTCTTATCACACAGTCCAAATGAAAAAACTACTAAGCCAATAAATAACATTTTAATCCTTAAAGGTGCACTAACTTTTCAGGTTTGGGTACCTGTACTTGCATGTCTCGATGGAGATGCTATTTCTGTGTTCCAGTATGGCATTAAACTACCTACCACTTATTTACTTTTGCATTTTTATTGCTTTAAAATACCTTGAAAACAAGCATTTTTATGAGAAGGCTAGCCTCTCCACTGATCTGACCTGTAACTTGAAGCATAATCTCGTCTCCACTGAAATAACATTAATATAAATCTTATTAGTTACTGATTGTTAATATTATACTGTGGAACACAGGCTAAGAAGTAACTATCAGGTGCAACCCCACCAGATGGTGCACTTTATTAAACTCAGCACACACCATTAGGCAGGTTCTGAGAGCCACACATGACTGCAAAGATCTCTCAATCACTAGTGGCAAATCAAATACCTACTCAAAAGTCGAATGAAAAACACAGCAAAAAGTCTAAGCAGAGATAGACAGATATAGATATCAGCCAATATATATCAGGCCAATATTTGCACTTCTTAGTGTACTGGCTATGGGCCTTAAATCTCCAGCACAAGACAATATTTAGTTTTGGCTGCCTCGGTACATAAAGAGGACATAAAACTTTATTTTGACACTTGAATGGAAAGAGATAACTGCACAAAACAGATTACAGAGCCCTCTTATAGGTTTGCGGTAAAGAAAGGACTGAGGGTGAGTTGTAGTATATTTAAATTTCAGAATTTTGGGAAAATAATCAAAATCAGATCAACATATCAGCCCAAAATATTGGCCTACAAAAAACTCATCTTGGTCGATCTATTAGAGTAACTGTATACATTTGTCATTTGTTAATAACACACTACAAAATAACTTGTGTCACTTACTTATCGGCTACATCCAGATCAGAGTCCATCTTCTCCAGTCCCTGCATCATGTTATCGAACTGTTCACCCTGATGACTCAGAACCCTCCCTGTGTCCTCCAGCCTTCTCTGGGCACCTGCCATTAGATTTATTAGCTGTCTCCCTTTAGAAGGCTGGCTCTCTGCACCTCGGGTCTCTGTGTTGGACGAAAGCAGCCGTTCTCTCCAGAAGTGTTCCAAAACATTGAACACCACCAGCCTATTAGGTTTCAGTGAGCCAAACCAGTGCTTCATGTTGCCCTCTTCTAGAATGGTCAGGGTGCTGAAGATGAAACTAGAAGTCTCCATCTTGATTTCCACAATTCTGGAGAGTCGAAAGCTGGCAAGACTTTCTTTACTCTGGTTAGAGGTGAAACGTACCATGGTCCTAGTGAGTGATAATATACCACTTTCCCATCGCTTCTCAGTGTTGAGGTAATAGGAGCCAGGCCAGCTGTGAATAGCAAGGTCTTTACTCATTTTGGACTGCCTGTGAATACAAATAAGAGAAAAACAATCAATTTTTATCTTTTTTTTAAAAAAAATTTAAGTATTTTAGATTTTTTTTAAAAACACCTGATGAAAACATACACAGTTAAGTTATCTATGGAGAATAACAGTGTGATTTACTGTGATTTAGTCTGACAAAAGCGTTATTTTGGCAACAGTAGTCACGTTAAAACACTATTATGCTATTTTAGGTCCCTATCTAGCCAGATAATTATGTATTTTTTTAAAATAGAATTGTAGAAGATCTATACTGTCAATCATGTGAGACTTCCTGATAAAATAAAAGACAACTATAACTCTAACAGTTGTATGACACATTATTGTAATTATACGATTATACATTAAGCAGCTAAAAGTTATTAGAGTAATGATACAGTAAGCTCGAGCCCCTTTCTTGGTATTGATTGTCTTCCATTTACATTTGGCTTTTTGTTCCTGATCAATACATGTAAATCATTGAAGCATATTATCCACCCAAAATCTCACTTACATCCTTTGGGTTCTCAGTCCTTCCTTTTACACAATAGTGAACTTACCTTGCTTTATTTTACTTGCTTGACCCACTTAGCTTTGTTGCAAAAAAAACAAAAAACAAAAAAAAACATAGAACACTCCATCTTAATAAGCACTATTTCCTAACGCAAAATTACAATACTATGAGTCCTTCTGGTGACCAGAGTCATACTTACCACAAAGTAATAGCAGGAGATCCAGATGGCTGCAAATGAACCTTGTTGTACACTTCAGTGATGATCTCCCTCTCTCTCCAACCGCATAACGCTTGCTAATACGTCCTTCTTACACGTGTCGTCAAATTAATTATTATTTTCATAAAGTGTCTGATTTAAAGTATAAATTCACCAAGAGAACATTATGTTTTATTGGATTCTTGAATCTTTAGTTGTTCGCAATCGGTAGCCCACGATACGAGTGTTTATTACGGAAGTGACGTCAGATCAGGGTACGGTCGTGATTATGGTCCGACGTGGAAAAATAGCCTGTCAAATTGATGACTCTCACTGCAGCATTTTAACGATTTTATCTTATTTTATTTTATTGGAACAATTAAAACTACCAGGAAGCGTAACAATATTCTCCGAAACTTAGTTAAAAAAACATTTCCGCTTTCTTGCATGAAATTGCCGTGTACTTTACTGCGGAAAGGAGCCAAATGAGTGTCACAATGGCATTTTTGATTGATTCACATGTGGATTCCTTTTGGCACTAATGTTTGCATTTATAAGATAGCTGTTTAAATAGCCTGGCTGCTTTGTGTGGCTTAAACGTTATACTTGGTAAGAATGTGCTGACATATAAAAAAATCGCGTCTAATAGCCCGTCCTGCTTTGAAAACGGTGCTAGCTCTCGGGGCTAAGCTAATGTTGTTTACATCATGGACAGAGAGGCGTATCGAAACTGCTGCAGCCTTGTCAAAATTACCAGACAGTCATATGAACAATTTTGGTCTTCACATTTCGTAGATTATATTGATAAGGATCTGAGCTATTCCAAATTCTTCAGAAAATATCTCCTTCCCAATCACCCGTGTATGTTTTCAAAGAGGTTTACTGAAGAGTGGAAGTGTAGAAAGCAATGGGTGACTGAAGATGGAAAACCTAATTTTCAGAAACTGCTGCAAGAATTTGGTATTTATCTTATATAACTTATTTACCTTTATTGTGCAAGTGCATAAGGCAATCTTGTTTTTTGTCTTATAGACCAGACGCCTGTGCCTGTAGCTAACTGCAATGCAAAAGAATACAATGCAAATCCCAAACAAGTTATGCCCTTTAAAGAATTTATACAATATTGGAAGGAATACATTCAGAATGGACACTCTTCGCCAAAAGGTTGCCTCTATCTCAAAGACTGGCACATGACAAGGTATAAAGTTTACCCTCAATATCACAGTTAATTGCCTATATTATTGAATTTAACTCATAATTTCTGTTTAATTCCTACAGAGATTTTCCAGAGCATAACATGTACACCACTCCTGTTTTCTTCTCCTCTGACTGGCTCAATGAATACTGGGATCACCTTGAAGTGGATGATTACCGATTTGTATACATGGGACCTAAAGGCTCATGGTATTGAGATATTTATTATAATCTAATATTGCAGGCATATAATAATTGTCCATTTTACAAATATGATCAATGGAATGTTCATATGACTTGCATTTTATTTAAAAAAAAAAACATTATGAGTGTATGGATAAAGAGCTACAATTATATACATTTTATTCTGACAGCACTCACAGTCTCTCACTGGGTCAATTTAAGAAGAGAAATACAAACAACATAGTTTTTCAGAAATCCAACAGTTTAGTAACTTACTTGTTGCCAATACCTGGTTTGAACAAGGTCAAACAAGGCAGAAAAGATTAGATAATATATTTGGTTGACGCCTTCAGAATCAAATCAGAAATCAGAAGGCCTTGAACTAGATCAAGGTCATTCTTATATTTATATTGCACGTGATTTACAATGTGCTATTCATTACACATAAATGAATAACAAACAATAATGTAAAAGGGCACAACAAATATTTAAATAGGAAATCTATTTTGTGTACAAGTGATGATTCCTGAAAGGTGTTTAATGCTATACTTTGGAACATTCCTGGCAACCCTAACCCAGACAAAGTGATAACATGCAATAGTGTTACCTCAACCAGAAAGGTTGCACAGTGCACCTTTAATATAACCAAATAAGTTATACGAAGTAAATATGAAAGTATAAATTGGACACAGCCAGCAGGTTTATTGTCACTGTAATGTCTTTGTGTCCAGGACCCCTTTCCATGCTGATGTTTTCCGCTCCTACAGTTGGTCTGCAAACATCTGCGGTAGAAAGAAATGGCTTCTCTATCCCCCGGGACAAGAAGAGTTTTTAAGAGACACTCATGGAAACCTAGCTTATGATGTAACCTCATCAGAACTGCAAGACAAAAGCCTGTACCCACACTCTGAAGAAGCCTGTCAGCCTTTAGAGATCATTCAAGAGGCTGGGGAAATTATTTTTGTGCCAAGTGGTTGGCACCATCAAGTTTATAATCTGGTTAGTTAATCAAGCTTGATTTCAGACTCCAGTGGGTTCATATAGAATATTAGATAAACATTCTAGAACAGTAATTATGGTCTTTTGTCCATATAAGCAGTTCCTTCAGTGCCTGACACTGCTTTGCTCAGGTATTGTTAAAGCATTTATAAAATGGCACTTGAGGGTCTTTTAGAAAAATATAAAACTTACCAAACAATTTTATAACTAATATTTCAATATGATGTTTATGAGTTCATTTGTTCTTGCAGGAGGACACAATATCTATCAATCATAACTGGTTAAATGGCTGCAATATTGACATCATGTGGCAGTTTCTTCAAAATGAATTGTCATCAGTGCAAAAGGAAATCGAAGAGTGGAGAAATACTATGGACTCCTGGCATCAGCACTGTCAGGTACGGAAATTATGCCCTTCTCTAGTCCAAATAGATGATATATCAAATAGTATCATGCACATGCCAGGCAAAATAAGTATTGGGGAAAAAATGTACAAATGAACTGATCACTTTAAGCTATAATTGTGTTATCAAGCATACAATTGGAATAACATTGAAAAAGTACAAAATATAAGAAAAGGTTATAATTTAAATATAAATATAGGACTGATAATACACAAATGAGTCAGTTACGATTAATCAGAATTATCTTGTTAATTCAAAGTGTGTAAATATGGAAACGCAATGCTTGCCTCTTTCTCATTTGTTATAGAAGTCAGTGATATATTGTCTATTACAACATAGTAGAGAAAGTAGTAGAGAGCTGTATTGAAAGGGCATAGCAAAAGAAAGATTCAGTCAATTCTGTCAACTGGAATAAAGTATTTTGAGTGAAGACATTTTGCAGCTCATCCAAGCAGCTTCTTCAGTTCATGCATTCGTCAGCTCGACAGGGGTACAAAATTAGAATATTGCCTGTATTACAAAACAGAACAAGTAAAAATATAATATAGGAAACTTGTCCTGGAATCTTTTAAACAAGGAACAAAGGGATATTTCTGTACCAACATTACTGAGAAATAAATTATTGTCAGTATCACCCAGTCTTTATTTAGTCAGGTAAAGGTGCATTGTGTAACTTTTCTGTTGGAAGGTCCTTCAAATGCTTTTCTCCATTGAGACATAATTGCGTTGTCTGGAATGTTTCACAGTGTGGCATTAAATTTTTCTATCTTCATGGAGACTAAACCAGACCAAGTTACAGGGCAGATCTGTGGACAAACAACCCCCTAATAATCAGAAAGCCTGTTTTTTTTTTAGGTATTTTTGAGCTATAAATCCACCTTGAATGCACCACCTAATTGAACAGATGTTATGTAGAGCTGTTTAATGTCATACTCTGGAATATTCCAGACAAAGCAATAAAATCTCCATGGAGAAAAGGTGTTCGATGGACCCTCTACCAGAAAAGTTACACAGTGCACCTTTAATCAGGTTAACCCTACAGTCTTCTTATTTTTTGTAGGTGATCATGAAGGCCTGTTCCGGGATAGATTTCTCAGAGTTCGGATCATTTCTTAAAATCATCGCCGATAGCCGTATAACCTTTTTGAATTCTTGCTCCTCGGGTGACTCCTCCTCCGACTACCCCCGGCACCAGTCTGAAGCCCTCTGCACCCTGGGGCCTTACCACGCGGCCTTTGACCTCCAGAGAGTGGCCCACACCATTGAAAGTCTTCTGTGTAACGAAGACTTTAAACGGCTAGATCACTCCACCATGACCCTACAACCAGAAACACTGTTACAGCAGATTAAAGACACTATACAGTCCACCAGAGGGCAGCACCTGCTTTATCAAGAGTGACACGGCAGCTACTATTATGAACGGTATCTAAGCTTGCTCAGAAAAGATTGGTCATTTGAGCTCAACAGTTCTCAGTCTCCTCTGGTTTTGGATGTGAATTTCCTATATATTGACATGAAAAAAATCTACTAAAACCCTAGGGGTTAATCAGCTATGGAGTAACAAATAAGCATAAAAAGCTTACATTTCTCAACTTAATAAATTATTTGAAACATAAAAGGTGAGGTGCAAGATCTGTTGAAAAGCAGATAATATTGCAATTGTTTTGGAGTATATTGCTCTGATTTAATTTAAAAATGTATTTGACCAATTATAAATGACCTTAATATGAGGGTGAAACATCAAGCATAAGCTCCCAAAAAAGGGTATAAAATTATATTTGGGTTCTTTTGAGGTTAATTTTATGGTCCATTCACATTTTGTTAGGCACTGACAGGTACGTTTTAGCACACTTTCTTTGTTAAAAATGTCCCCACTTACGGTAAAAGGCAAACAATAATTATAATTATTGTACTGGTTTCTTTTTTATTTATTTATTCAACTAAATGGGGAAATACCTTACTTCCAAAACTAGATGTGGGTTCCCAAGGTTGAGCTTTAAAAATGGACAATGTGTCCATGAGAATTGGTGCTGTTTGAACATTATGTGTTTCAATTCTTTCTGGCTCTGATTTGGCTGTGATTGTTGCACTGAAAGGAAAATAAATATTTAAACTTTGACATTTATCGATTTTCATTCTCATGCAGTGCTGGTCCTCTTGGGGTTTGCAGAACTAATAAATATCAGAAGTAATACACATAGCCTCAAATACGGCCTTAGTATGAACCATTTTTGTAACTCTTGTAATGAACATGCACAGGTATTGTTTAGCAGACAATTTAAATTCTTAATTCTCTAACAGCAGCTGACACTTCTAAAAAGTTGTATGTATAGTGTTAAGTGGTAAAGAGAAGTAATGATTTTGAGGAGAAAAAAAGCTTATTTAAGATCAAACTAATTAAAACTCAGCAGCAGAGGTCGCCATAGCTCCACATCAGAACTTCAGGTTGCCTCCCAATTACACTTATTGAACCCTGAACTACTAGAAAATCTGGACTTCACCATCACAACAGGTACCAGGTCCAAACCAAGTCTACATCAGGACTCAACTAGGACCTATCAGGACAGAAGTGATTGCAGAAATGCACTCTAAAACCTTTACAAGAACATACATTGCATTATCCATTTAATTAAGGACAAAGTTCACATGGGTCAAACTCCTAGATAACATATTCCTCTATACTGTGATTGTGCTGGACAAAGAACAAAACTAAAAAACTAAACATGACAAGTAGGGCTGCACTGATCCATCCTTTTTTAGTTCCAATATAGATATGATACTTTGACTTTTAAGTATCTTCCAATAATTGATACTGATAGCAATGTAGGGATGGATAATGGCACTTATTTCTTTACATACACCACACCCAAAACTAAATCTGGACTTGACCAGCACTATAACAAGTCCAAACCAAGTCTACATCAGGACTAAACTAAGACCAGTCAGGACAGAAGTCACTGCATGAACGCACTCTCAAGCTTTTACCAGAACATACTTTGCACTGTTTAGATATTTTATTTTCAGATTTTTATTTCAGACACACACTGCACACAGTTTGACAATGAAATGTAACATATTTTCCTTGAGGCTTGTGTTGATTGTTGGTTTTCAGATTCTAAATGTATATATGTATAGGTCTAAAATCTCAGAGGGGGCAAGAGACGCTTTCTTATTGATAACAATGTACTTTGCTGTGAAGTATCCAAATGGTAATTCACAAATGTTATACCTGATTTCCATTTTTGACTTGACCCAAGAATGAACTGTATTACAACAGAAATCTACATTTTAGTATGAATTTTAGCACTTCCCCTATCTGTATTTAGTATCATTGGCCAGTAGGTTGTTGTGTCATCTGAAACCTTGCAATAGAAACCTTGGAATACTTACATAACTGTCAATTTGTGAAAATTTAAACACTTTTTTCATTTGAGCTTTGCGTCATCGGGCCACCACTTCCGGCACTGAAACCTTTAGTGTCACTACATTATCGTCACTTGTTTTCACCTCCAACTCTTCTTTGGCATGAGCTGTCCGAACCAGGCCTAAACCTAAGTCCCCTAGCCCAGATCTGTGCTTCCCAGCTGGTTTCCCTCCTTGGGTGTGCAGTGGGGCTCCTTCTTCCAGGTTTTGGGCAGAAAATGGAGGGGACAGTCGAAGTGGCATAAGTCTTTTGCGAACTACCCCCGTGTGATGCGTCCTGGCAGTGAGCTCTTGTCCAATGTAGCAGCCTTTACTAAAGCTGATGCCGTTCATGAAGACCAGGTTAGATTCTAGAGGTAAAGCCGTGCCAGGAGGAAGATCCACTACTCCCTCTGGTAGACCTGTGGACAAAGACAACAGTTTACACTAAGCACACATAAGGCCATTTGAGGGAAGGGCAAACACAGGGACAGAAAAACAAATGTGTGTTCAACTGAATAGGGTTAGATAGGATAGTTTAAAATGTCAATGCCCTGCATCACCAACAGTATGCATCACAAACACGCATGGCCAGGGCTTTGAACCAGCAACATTGTGCATAATAAAGCTATGGTGTAATTGACTTTATTGACTGGAGTTTCTAAATAATGTCTGCGTCAGTTTTTAACTACTTTGCATTTTGCATTCAGGATTCAGAGAACAATAGTTACAAACATTACTCTCATTATACTGGTTGGGTCCATAGCTCTGAACCAGCAACTGTGTGCATATTACAGCTATGGTGTAAATGACATTTCAATTGAAATTACCTAAATACTGTATGTGTAAATTTCCAGATACCTTTGCATAAAGTAATTCCTGTCTCTATAGTAATTCAATTTGGAAACTTCAATACGAAAATAAATAGTGAACGTTAATGTTTGTACAGTCCAAACGATAAAGAAGGTCCAATTTACTTTTTGTATGATATGGAGAATCCGTAATCCACAAGGTTTGTGACAATTGGATAATTTTGGATGTTTTATGTTTAATATAGGGGGCGCTATAGACACACTGGTTATGTTCTCATCACTCTGCTTTAATAGATTGACATGCCATTGGTGTATGGTGATGTTGTGTAATGAGCCTAACTTGGACAACTGAGGACATTGTTTAATTAGGTTATGCCCTTGACTTTGCAGTACTCACGCAAGATTGATAAGTGTATCACTCTGGACCAAGTTCTACACTTTATCTTTCTGGAACAGCTCTCACTGGAAGCATTTAGAAAAAGGAGGGACTTGCAGCAAAAGGCCTCGAGCTGATTAAGCGAACCACCCTGAACTGCTCATCCACTAGTTTGTTTTTAGCCAATCACTAAAAAAAAAAAAATCAAAACAAATATTGTGCTGTAGAGGGAAGATGTCGATAAAACAATTCAGGCATTTTTGCAATACAAATTTGTGCATTAAAGACGTTATAATTTAGACTTAGACAAACTTTATTGATCCACAAGGGAATAAATAAGCCACCCTCACTGTCCTTGAGTGCCGCTTTGTTTGTTTGTGTAGGCCTGGTGCTTGGGGATGTCATCATGTTGCCTGAAACACCTCCCTGTGTGCGTAGAAGCCCCTGTAATTCAGCCGAGCACTGCTTGAGTCGAATTTAAACCGTACAAAAGGAGCATGTGAATTTGTGAACTCACAAGTATTGTCAGAATCAGTCTTGCTGCGCAACATTAGTGCTGAGGGCCCTTGAGACAATATACACAAAAAAAAAAAAAACATGCTTTTATTTTAGTCTATTGTTTGCTAATAAGTTACACACTGTGGCTTTAAAGGAAATAGGGGTAGATAAAGTTACTAAAGCTACTCATCTTTAGGTGCAGATTTATGCTCTAATATTCAAGTTTAAGGGCAAGTCGTTGGCCAAATCTTCCATTTCAACATCTGTGATTTTATCTTTTGGATATTTCTTAAATAAATACAATGTAATCAAGACAGAAAACTGGCTCATGACCCCATCTAGAAGAATTTGAAAACCACACACCAATACATTCTAGATTTTTTTAAAGAAAATTGGTACAGTCATTTCATTGTGCATTTGAGAGTTTAGTGTTAAAATGCAAAGAAATGAAACACAACTTAATTCTAAAACTAAATACAAGACATATTTGTGCACTACTTACTTGGACAGATTTCAAGAAGTTTAGGATATAACATATATAAAATATATAAAAATATAGTTTATATATATATATATATATATATACACATACATACATACATTTATACATATACATATGAAGTTCCTGCAGCTCCTACACATTATTGAACTATTAAAGTCAAACAGTCTTTGCTGTTATACAGATAATAAGGACAAAGTTCACAAGGGTCAAACTCCTAGATAATATACTCATTGACTCTGCTGCACCAAGAACAAAACTAAACAAAACGTGATAATACGGATGCATTGATCCACCTTTATCAGTTACGAGGGTCCTGCTTTGTCTAGGCTGTTTCACAGTATAGATTCAACCTATCTCACGAGATAAGCAGGTAACAGCACTACGCTACATTACAACTCAGATCTGTGGAGAGTCGCCCATATTAACAGAAGGAATTATTGTATTTTTGAGCAATAGGAACACATGTAATGAATAAATGCTAGATGGATAATGTCATACCATAAACATTCCAGGTAAAGCAATAACTTCTCCATGGAAATAAACAGGAAGTGGAAGCTCCACTAGAAAAGTTGCACAGTGCACCTTAAAGTATCTGCCGATCTTGATATTAACCAGATACCAGTGTAGGATGGATAATAGCACTTAGTTCTTTAAAACACAGTTAACTTATTACGGAAAAGATCCAATTATGTTATGCAATGATATCCTTCTAATAACTATTGAACAGCTTTGTATGACTAAAAGTTAAAACATTATGCGATGTTCTCATCCAATATCAACCTGTAAATATTCTTGTTACATCTGATTAAAGGTCCAACCTGAATATCAACCAATATTTTAGAATCTTATATATAATCCAGCTAATTTTTATGAAATAAAATAATATTTTTGAAATAACACAGAAAATCACAATTCTGCTGGAAATCTTGTTTGGAAGGTAGGGGATCTCAGCTGAATAACCAGCAAAACATTTTAAGTGGTCAGGAAACAAACACTGGCTCATTTGCCAAATACTATTGTCAATTGTTGTCTCACTTCCAACCAGAACAGATTTATTACCTATTCAATATTGTGTCTATGAAGAATGAGGAATAGGTGTGGAGAGTTAATCGAAATCAGATATCAAATTGAATTATCATTGTGCTCTTAAAGATAAGATAAACAGGCTGATATTTGTCACCTGGCCCTGGGGCAATGTGTTCTTACTAAGTGCAATTTACATTCATATATTGATATATTGGAGCGTCCTCACAGGCCCTCAAATCAGGGAGGAGTCATTTGCCTGTAACTAATCGATAGGCTGGGTTCAGGTGACATCAGAGCGTTCTAATCGAAACTGCCCCAAGAAATTTGAACTGGAGGTTTACTGAAGACATTGAAGATGTCACTGCGTATAGCCTGTGACATGAAAATGTTTTGTTCATTATTATATTTTACATTTTTTGGGCTCATTCTTTTCAGACACTTCTGCTAAATGCCATTTCTTATCATAAAAGGGCCAAAAACACAAAATACATAATTTACAGCACACACTAAACATGGACACTAATATCAGCACAAAATCATCTTCATTTATAGATGTGCATGATGAAGAATACTTTTGAGCATGAAAAAACACCAAAATAGCCAAAATTGATATAAACAACACGTAGTTGGCGACACTCCTTGATGAGAGGTCCCTTTATCATTATAATGCATTTCAATGGGAAAAATATGGTTTGTTTAAAACTGTGTAATCTGACACAAAAATCAAAAAAAAAAAAAAATCACAATACACCAAAACTACTGTTGCTGCTAATTACTAAGCCACCTCAGGCTGCAATAAAAAAGATCAAAAAATCTGTTTTGCATTTCACACACATAATTTCCCTAATTTATAATTTGTGTAATGTCCAACCAAAATCAAGGTTATGTCCAAAAACAGTGCACATTTTGTGTTTAATGGTACAAACATATGAATTGACATTACACAAAACCTAACAATGCAAAGACTGTGTTAGTGCCAATCACTGATCTGCCCCAGGCTGCAATAAAACAGCACAAATTTATTACATTTTACATTTATTATATCGGAAAAATATCAAAATGTTTTTGTCAACACAAAGTTGGTCCTTTTATGATAAGAAATGGCATATAAAGGGTTAAAATCATAAAAAAATATACAGTGTTTAGGAGTAACAGATTACATGTACCACCGTTACGTAATCAGAGTACAAATTATGAGTAACTGTATTCAGTTACAGTTACTGTTTCAATGAGTGGTAATTGGATTACAGTTACTTTGCTGAAATAAGTGGATTACAAGGCGGTATTTTTATGTTTTCACATTTTGTGCTACATCCCATTTATTTATTTTTTTATTTCGGTAATTCCACTCATTGCCGGAAACCCAAACAGAACGTGGCAGTAAGAGCGACGTAAACGTCATGTTAACGTTCGCGAGGTCGAAGAGCCAGTAGAACAGAGTCAGCAGTGCACAGGTAAAAACACATTTGTGTCTTGGAAATTCTTCACCTGACATGAAATATAAAAAAAAAACAAATATAAAAGGCTAGGCTCATGATATCTGCAGTACTGTCCTATAGTGACCTGCCACACGAGGGGACGCACCCACAAACACACGCAAACACAACAAACACCTTCATCATCGTCATCAATCTGAGAACGCGCGGACCACGTTTCCTTCCATAGCTACTGCGCTGACACCGACGTCCTCCCAGGACTAAAACCAGGACTAAACCAGTCCAGGACTAAACCAGGACTGAACCAGGTTTAAACCAGTGCTAAATCAGGTCTAAACTATAGGACTAAACCAGGTCTATACCAGGACTAAACCAGAACTAAACCAGAACTAAAATCAGGACTAAACCAGGACTAAACCAGAACTAAAATCAGGACTAAACCAGGACTAAACCAGGACTAAACCAGAACTAAACCAGGTCTAAAATCAGAACTAAAACCAGGACTAAACCAGAACTAAACCAGGTCTAAAATCAGGACTAAACCAGGACTAAACCAGTACTAAACCAGAACTAAACCAGGTCTAAAATCAGAACTAAAACCAGGACTAAACCAGAACTAAACCAGGTCTAAAATCAGGACTAAACCAGAACTAAACCAGAACTAAAATCAGGACTAAACCAGGACTAAACCAGAACTAAACCAGGTCTAAAATCAGAACTGAAACCAGGACTAAACCAGAACTAAACCAGGTCTAAAATCAGGACTAAACCAGGACTAAACCAGGACTAAACCAGTACTAAACCAGAACTAAACCAGAACTAAACCAGGTCTAAAATCAGAACTAAACCAGGACTAAACCAGGACTAAACCAGTACTAAAACCAGAACTAAACCAGAACTAAACCAGGTCTAAAATCAGAACTAAAACCAGGACTAAACCAGAACTAAACCAGGTCTAAAATCAGGACTAAACCAGGACTAAACCAGGACTAAACCAGTACTAAACCAGTACTAAACCAGAACTAAACCAGAACTAAACCAGGTCTAAAATCAGAACTAAAACCAGGACTAAACCAGAACTAAACCAGGTCTAAAATCAGGACTAAACCAGGACTAAACCAGGACTAAACCAGGACTAAACCAGTACTAAACCAGAACTAAACCAGGTCTAAAATCAGAACTAAAACCAGGACTAAACCAGAACTAAACCAGGTCTAAAATCAGGACTAAACCAGAACTAAACCAGAACTAAAATCAGGACTAAACCAGGACTAAACCAGAACTAAACCAGAACTAAAATCAGGACTAAACCAGGACTAAACCAGGACTAAACCAGAACTAAACCAGGTCTAAAATCAGGACTAAACCAGGACTAATCCAGAACTAAACCAGGTCTAAAATCAGGTCTAAAATCAGGACTAAACCAGTCCAAAACTAAACCAGAACTAAAATCAGGACTAAACCAGGACTAAACCAGAACTAAACCAGAACTAAAATCAGGACTAAACCAGGACTAAACCAGAACTAAACCAAAACTAAAATCAGGACTAAACCAGGACTAAACCAGGACTAAACCAGAACTAAACCAGGTCTAAAATCAGGACTAAACCAGGACTAAACCAGAACTAAACCAGGTCTAAAATCAGGACTAAACCAGGACTAAACCAGAACTAAACCAGGTCTAAAATCAGGACTAAACCAGAACTAAACCAGGCCTAAAATCAGGTCTAAAATCAGGACTAAAACCAGGACTAAACCAGAACTAAACCAGGTCTAAAATCAGGACTAAACCAGGACTAAAACCAGGACTAAACCAGTACTAAACCAGAACTAAACCAAGTCTAAAATCAGGACTAAACCAGGACTAAAACCAGGACTAAACCATGTCTAAACAATATGACACTTAACAGTAGGTTGGACATAATTTAAGGTGATCTCATATAAAAATAATTTCTCTTTCTCTTTCTTTTTTAATTTGGTTAAGGAAAGACTGAACTTGTTATTGTCTTTTAGGAGACAAAACATTTTATGTTAACATCCTAGTCCTAATCCTAACAGATTCTAGTCTTTGCTTCTCTACAGCAAACAGTTGCTTATTCATGGAGACTTTGGGTCAACAGACAATTTGAAGAGAACAACAAGAGAACAGACAAGAATTTTCAGGATGTGGTTGCTACATTCATGTCGTTTTAAAAAGCATGACAATATCAAGTAATCCAAAGTATTCAGATTACGTTACTCACTTTAAGTAATTTAATGGATTATGTTACAAACTACATTTTGGGGTATGTAAACCGTAATCTGTAAGGGAATACATTTTAAAAGTCACCTTCCCAACACTGAAAATATAATATATATATATAATGTAAAATATCAAAATATTTTATACCAAAATTTAGAGCAGATGTGCCTGAAAAGAATGAGTCTAAAGAAAGTAAAATATAACAATGAAGAAAAATTGTAACTGGATGCCTAAATACATTTATGTGCCTAACAATCAAATTCAATTTGAATTTGAAAGCTGAAACATCATTCAAAAAGCCACCACTCCACCAAATTTCATGCTTATTTGGATGAACATTACAAATTATTGAGAGATGAAAAGACAAAAGTGCGTAAAATGTCCAGAACTATACATGAGGGTCAAACATATTGAAGATCAAATTGCAATTTTCTGTGAAAATTGCAATTTAGATTTTTTCTAAATTGTGCAATAGGCTGGTCATTGTAATAACAATATCAACTTATTGTTCAATATAAAGGCTGGAACAGTATATTTAATATTTAACAGTGTGTATAGTTTCTTTGTAAAAGTGGAAAGATTTTGGGTATTTTCAGTGGCACCTGTAGGGGTACGCACAAACGCACTCACTCTATCCATCTCTCTTTATCTGTCTGTCTCTCTCTATCGATCCAAGATACAGACATCAGATGGGAGAGGAGGAAAGAGAGACGTGGACCTCTTAAGTCCCAAGAGCCAGGTGTAAGAGTGCAGACTGAGTGGAGGATCTGTAATCCACTTGGCTGTACGGACCTTCCCAAAAAATCCTGCAAGCGCCCATCAGTATTTTTGTTGCACTACAACAAAACTGCAAAGGTTGATTAAGGGTCTATTTAAAAACTGCTATATTCTCATTCAGCACAGTATATCTCTGTACAATACATCATGGTTCAAAATGTGCTATTGTGACAGGCTTATCATGTAGCCATACCAATGTTTGTATTGTAAAGTTTATATAATGTATGTTTTCTTCTGATAAGACCTTACCTATTGTATATCTGTGCTTGTGATACTCCTGGACATCTCCTTTGTGACATGATGCAATGACGTTCTCGGGTTCTTGAATATTGTCCAGCACTAACCTCCAGCCCATCTGCTCTGTTCTGGGATCGGCTCCCACCACCACAGCCTTCTCTGGGCTCAGGAGCTCTGGCTTACTGTGCCCAGGTAACACAGCCCAAACAGACAGTTCAGGACATGGCTGGATGGTGACTTTACGGCGGATTTTATACACCTTCAAATGTCTCAAGATGGAGTCTGTGATTGTGCGGTCACACTCGAGGAGAACACCACATAGAGCATCTGCTTCTTTTAGACTGCAAAGAAATATAAACAGCAACATTAAATGAAAACTAATTTAATTATTAGTAAAGTATGTGCATCAATTAAGCTGGTTTCAATATATATAGTTATATATAGTTTGATAGAATTAGAAAAGCTAGCCTAAACTAAAGATAATTTTATACAGTGGTATAATAGTATTTTCCATTGACTGTAGTCTTAAATGACCATAGCTAACGAGCTAGCCGCCACATTCTAAATAGGAAGTGAGGATGGGTGCGAAATGGTTCCTTCAAACTCTGGTTACAATTCACTTCTGTTGGAAAATGCTCACTCCTCTCTGTAACAGCTGCAGTGAGCCTTGTCAGTTTGGTCTTGAAATGTTCGTATTAAATCGCTATACATGATCCTGGTGTTTTTATTTCACTATTTTGTCCCTAAATAAAAATATGAATATTATATCAGACCAATGAGGCACCTTCTTTCCTCGAGGTCGCTCCAGCTAGCGTTAGCAACAGGTTTAATTGACAGCCTTGTTGCTATGCAGCTATCTTCTTCCAAACCAGGTAGTGTGAGTGGGATGGGGCATTACCTTCAAGACCTTTGCTCCTGATTGGCTCTTTGGTTTTGCGCTCGGATTTCCAAATATGGTCACAGATTGTAGATTAACCACAATGACTACAATGGTATTTTCTAAGCAGATTGAGATATTTACTGCAAAATAGTGGTGGAGGCTCACAGTTACAACTTTGTTACATAATTGGCACATCATGCAATTTATGATGCATGAATCCAAATTCATGTTCAATGTTAGCAACAGTTTCAAATCCAGATCTGTCTAAGGCCCTACACATAAAGTCTTTATGAAGACTTCTGCATGAGTCAGATAAAAGCCACACCTACCAGGACCAACTGTCAGTGTTTATAAGCAACTTAGCTCACTTTTTCATTTTGAAATAAAAGAAATGGGCCTTTATCAAAGTAAGGTGATTTTCTGACTCAAAAAACTCAAGAAACTCATAACATAAAAGTTTGGTTGGGTTTGGTTTATTATATATTTTGGTAAATAATTATAATAACACCAATGACAGTTTAGTGTGACACCATTACCTTTACACTGGAAAGATTCTATTTATTAGCACTATTTATTAACACATTTCTATTTTCTTAAAATTTTGTTTCTCATCTCAAAACTAACATGCTTTATCTTAGTTATATTGTAGCACTGTCAACTATTTCTTTTATGAAAAATACTTTACCACTATAATGGTGTTCCAAACCAAACAATGGTCAAATCTGGTGGGGTTTTTTTTTTGGTTTGTTTTTTTGGCTTTAATTAATCAAAACACACTCACAAATATGTTTCACAGAGAGGCTTCTTACTTGATCACTCCTGATACCTTGAATAGATTTTTATTATATGGCTGGAAAGTATGGGGACTTTGAAAATGAAATTACAACTAAGAGCCATACCATTCATATCCGGAAGATGACATTTGCAGTAGCTCTTGTATTAAAGTACTGTATTACCTGTAGAGCATGATGTCGTACAGTGTCCTGCCCTGCACGTTTAACATGTGGGAGTAGATGACAGGTCGCTCCGGTTCTTCCAGAGCGCGCATGTCGTTAGTGATGATTCCCTGCAGAAACGACCCGGTGTCCTGCCCGTGGATCTTCACCAGGGCCCGGTGAGCCAGCGGGTAACACACCAACTGGCCCGGCTGGTCTGGACAGCTGGTCGTGTCCTCGCTGTACCTCCTGCGGATACCAAGGCCGCTGCTGGGGGGGATTTTAGTGTAAAACAGGTAACAGCGGCCGGAGACTATTGTGCCTCTGATGAAGGATAAGACACCCATGATTTAGCATTTAAGATGAAAGGAAAAACAGAGATTTCACTCGATAACAGAAGTGCACGAATACGTAACTAACATCAGCGCCATTTTGACATCCCACAATGCATCTCACACAAACAACGTCACGTGCGCGACCGGTGACGTCACCGGTCGCGCACGTGACACACAAAAAAATAATAAATAATTGGAAAAAAAAAAAAAAAAAAAAAAAAGAAAAGAAACGGTGTGCACTCTGTCAGACAACTAATCAACAAGAAATCCATACATTTATTGAACATATATATATAACTAACATAACTGGTAAAACTTCTTGATATAAAATGCTGGAGAATCTACTAAATTAATTTAATAAATACATAAAACAAAATATAATAACACAGGTTTGAAATATATTTATTGAATAAATGAAACAGTCTTTGTTGAAGGAAGGCACTTGTAGGATGAAAATCTAAAATCACAGGCTTGGATATGGATCTGAAAGAAGACTTTTGTCTTTTGCATATCTAGATCTAGATGTGAAAGCTGTTCACAATTATAAAGCATGCATCTATCTATTCCTCTTAGAAAGCAAGTATAGACTAGTATGTTGATCCTAATATTATTTAAAACATAGATTATTTTTGTGTGTTTTAACAAAATGTATGAGTCTAACACTATACACTGGCCTGATGCACTGCAGTAAAACAAACAAACAAACATTGCAAGTACTTACCCAATATATTACCCATGTATATGATCTTTTGGTAACAGTCACTTTTCTCTCAGACATAGGCCTAGTTCAGCTGTGCAGTTCACAGTGGGTTGATATTTCACACTTAAGTTAATAGTACACCAAAAAAAACTTATTAAGTCACAGTTTGTAGATTTTTTTTTTTTTTTTTTTTTTTTTTTTTTGTCAGTAGTTTGCAGTAGTAACAGTGCTTTGCCCACTTCACTCAAAACTTATAAAGAAGGCATCCCCAGGAGAGCTCAAACACTGTCAGTAACGCAGGGCAACAGTTTCTTCACGTCGTCTTTCTGTAACATTCACACAATAGCAACCAAAAATCTTCTGTCAAAGAGTCACACACTGACTTATTTAATACTTTTGCAAATCAGTGTCATGTCCAGACTTTTTCATTGCTGTGTCTCAGGCGATAAGGCGATAATTATGAGAATTTTTCAGTTTTCAAAACTATATATACATATGTTAATTTTCTCCATTTATTAAAAATGTGCAATATTATGAATAAAATGAAACAAAAATGGTTATTTACCACAATATTCTGCCTCTGCCCCACTGAGTGTGGTTGCACCTGGAGTGACTAATAACCAAACAAACAAGGGAACTTTTTTTCTGTGGGAGAAAGCTCACACGCTGAGAAAAAAAGATAAATGGTCAAATCTATACAATGTGAGACTATAACAGGATCTGGTCAAGAATTTAAACGGATAAGGGAAAATCTTGAACATAAACTCAAAGAACCCAAAATACCCTGCATGCTTTGACTTAAAGCATCACGGCGTAACTTTTGAGCCAAACTAAATAGACTAAAATAAAAGTATGTTTTTATTATTATATTATTATGAATGTTTTTATTCCACTGAAATACATGTGTCTTTTTGGTGAGCAGACTTGCATCCACAGGCTTTACTCTAATTTGGCCTTGTCCTGCTTGTCTCCATGTAAATGTTGTTTCTTTGGCTATAATTTTCCACAGTATTTCATAAAATATTTATCTGCATGGAGAATGTTCCGAAGTATGTTTAAATTTCTAATTCCATGGAATAATGCAGGTGACTTGCTACCTCCATAAAGTTAAATAGTGTTGCTTCAGTATTTCAACAGCAATCAACTGGACAAAGTTTTCATGTTATGGTTAAGTATTAATACTTGAAGAAGAAACCCTGTATAGATAAATGTTACAAATAAACCCCAGTCAGTGCCATTTAGCTAATAAAAGCCCATTGTTTATCATCCAAAACCTTGGACTAAAACCATAAAACTATATTTTGCAGTCTTTTATGATCTTAGTCTCTCCTTCTGTTGTCAGTAAATGGTCATTAAATTACCATTAATAAATTAGTTACAGAGCATTGGGGAGCAACTGAACGGAACTACATATTTTTGACATGTAATGTCTTTTTTGTTTTACTAAAAATATTTCAGAAAGAGAAAAACAATAGTCAGGGTAAAACTGCAGTTGTGGTAGCTATATTTGCTAAGAAAAGGAGCTACTTTAAATAACAAATCAGTGCAACCCATATGGTCTAAATGTGGTGAAACATGCCTACAACAGTTACAGCTGCTGGTGCAGGTAAGACTTTTCCTTTTTAACTAACTAACTGTGCTCCCCAGAGACAACAAGAGGTCCTTTTAAATACCATGATTACAAAAAAAATAAAATAAAATTAAAGTCACTAAATCCACACTGACGTTTTTCCATTTTTACCAGCTGTCTTATCTGCTGACTTTGGCCTTGCTCCTTGCTTCTCCTGAACCATATTCACACGGTTTTGCTCTGCCATGGTCCCTCCAGACACAGGACTGCTAGACCTCGATGTCTGTTGTGTAGTTTTGGTCTGATACGTTTGAAAGGCCATGTCAAGCTGCTCCTGGGCTACTCGCAAATGCCGATGCAGGCTCGCCAAATCGGAAGGTATATTTTCATCCGGACTCCCACAATGCTGCTCATGGACAGAGTTGGCCATGTTTTGCTCATGAGGAATGATGCTATTAGGAATCTGTCCAGGTTTGTCGGACTTGATGACGAGGTTGTAGCCAGGAGGAGATGATGGGATGTTTCGAGGGAACGGGTAGTGGTATGGCGTTAAGGTCCCTCGGCTTTTCCGTTGACACAAGGAATCTCGGAACGTGCCAATTGCTATGTGTAGCATCTCGCACACATTCAGGATGAGACAGAGGCAGCTTACAATATACATGATAAGAAGGAAGATGGTTTTCTCCGTAGGTCGTGAAATGAAGCAGTCAACTCTGTGCGGGCATGGAATCCTGTTGCATACGTATGAGGGATTAACCTTGAAGCCATAAAGGAGGTATTGTCCTGCTAAGAACGCAACCTCAAAAACAGCTCTTGACGTAAGCTGAAGGATGTAAATTCTCATAAGACCTTCTTGAACAATTCTCCGGCGGCCATCATATTTGGCTTGCACTTTTCCTATTGCACACTCAGGCCTCAAGTCTTTCATCTCAAGTGCATCTTCAAAAATCATTGGTTCAGCCTCACTATCAACATGTTCCTCCATGATCTCTTCTATATGTTGATTGTCTCTCCATCGTGAATGAGGAGGTGGCTTTTTGCGCTGCTCCATTCTTTGCCTTTTTTGCCGTTCTTCTTCTGAGGTCCGAGCGATCTTATGAATTGCATATCCCATGTACATGACGGACGGGGTGGAGATCATGATAATTTGGAAAACCCAGAAGCGGACATGTGAGAGCGGAGCAAAGGCGTCATAGCAAACATTGTCACAGCCCGGTTGTTTGGTGTTGCAGGTGAATTTGGTCTGTTCATCAGAATATATAGACTCTCCACCCACTGCAGTCAACACTATACGGAAGATGATCAACACAGTGAGCCAAACTTTCCCCACAAAGGTGGAGTGGTTGTGGATTTCTTCCAGGAGACGAGTGAGGAAACTCCAGCTCATCTTGCTCCAGGAATATTTATAACAAGGATCTGAAAAAGTGAAAAAATAAATTCAAGCCCATTTTTGTCAGATTCAAAAAAGTTCAGTAACAGTCAACACCTACCAGAAGCTTGGGGAAGTTACATCATTGCACAGAGAGCTGTCTTGAGTGTAAGATGGCCCCATTAGTTCCTGTCTACTTGTGCTTAAGTTTCTTTCCCACCACGTTTGATGACCCTGCAAAAACAAATTACAAATTACAAAATATATTTAATTCTCACAGTCCTTTGTTTTATTAGAAAATGCTGATTATGTGTTCCAAATATGGTGAATATTACTCAATGATAGACTGTCCCGAAGAGGTGGATAAAAGCTAGAATACATAGAAAGATGGTATGATTATGCTGCGAATAGAGGAATAGTAAACTATAATAGATAATTAATATGATGAATATATTTATGTATTTCATAGTTGTATTATTGTGAAATAATAGTGAAAAACATTGGTGTGATTACATGATTTGTCTGTGGCCAATCACAACATGGGTCAGAGAGTTGTCTAGGAAACAACAGGACAATAGAAAGTAGAGCACAATGATGTACTGTTGTTGTCATTGAGACGTGACTACGCAAACACAAATCTAATCTAATCTCAGTTTCAGAGATTATTTGAGTTCAATTACAGTGCAGTGATTTATATTTTATTTTTATCTAGATCTTTATGACTATTAAATAGCGCAAGTGACCTCCAGTGTTTTATTGTCATTATTGATATGACTGATATGATATATGACCTTGAAATGTCTTTTATTCAAACCTCACATTAGGCCTCATAATTGGAAAGTGTAGATGTGGTAATCAACATGTTTATGTTCATATGTTTATGTTTTTGTTAAAGATTAAGATCTTCTTGGCTCTTTATTGTTCTACTTTTTATACCATAAACTTGGTATTTCCTTTAGTACAGCAACTTCAAGTAGATGGACAGATATAGATAGGCAGTCAAGCCTCAAATGCAGGACAATGCACCACATTACTCATACATCATCAACAACATCAAAATTCAAGTTTAAAGAAGCGAATGATGAGGAAACATAGTTCATATACTTTAATTTATGCCTTTTACATCACAATAATAAGCCATGTAAACATGTAACAATATGTCTAATTCTCTTGAGAAACAGAATGATGCAGGTCAGTGTCTTTTACCAAACTATAGTGGCGCCGGTGCTTGAATGAATGAAAAGCCCATTGTGAGAGAAGCACCAGAGGAACCTGCTGTGTATCTCATGGCACCACAGCCTTGTCCGATCAGCAGTGTGCTAGTCATCAGGGCCTGTGTAATGTGAATTAGGCTGCATGGGCTTCTCATTCACTGCCATAGCACAGATAGGGCTGCTGCAGGCTGATCTCATGGACAGGACTGGCAGACTAGTGTTCCTCAGCCAAGGATGTGTCATCAGGGGGAAGACAGCATCAGAGCTTTGTTGAACTATGGCAAGGACTATAAGCCTCTAGTCATGTCTGTTAATTTATCAACATATTCTCTGCTGTCACCATGTCAGTATGATGCCTGGGTAATAATTCCATGGGCATATTATGTTTATATAGACTGAGCGTACAACAGTTAGAGACCAAAAGGGAGTTGGAATAACATTCCAGTGCCAATGTTATTCACCAGCGTCCATCCAAATCAGCCTTTACTCAAAGTTCACTGTCTATTAATGTGAAAACATTATATGCAATAGCAAGCTCAAAATGCAAAGGGTTTAAGGGTACACTTGTTTACTAAATGGAGTCAACACAATTGGAATAAATGCAAAATTAATCTTTTCTATGTGTGTGTTTTTTATTATTATTATTATTATTATTATTTTATTTATTTATTTATTTGTATTTAACCAGGATAGTGCTGGGATTTGGAATCTCCATTTCAGGGAAGTCCTGGTCCCCAACAGAAGCCTATTTCTTGTTTTGTTTTAAGAGGTAGGGGAAACTGGAGCACCCAAAGGAAACCAATGCAGGCATGGAGAGAACATGCAAACTCCACACAGAAAAGCTGTCCCTCTTAAATATACTATGTATGTATCATGGACTAACTTAGAATGGAACTTAGAATTTTTTTTTTTTTTTTTTTAAATGGAACATGATCTATTATCAAATTATACACTATTACATGCAATACTTAAAATATCTTCATAAATAATACAAATAAATAAATAAATACAGATATAAAAATATAAAATAGTAAAATAGCACCAAATCTAGTTTATATATGCTTGACTTACCCTACAACGTTTGAACTGAGGATGGGAAATTTCTTACATCGAAAGAACATTATGTAATACTGTAAACTACACTTGGTAAAAATATATGTGGTAAAAATATGAAAGTACCCTATAAGCCAAAATGAGCTCTGGTAAATCTATGCCATTATACATAACAAATAACATTTTTGAAAACATAACTGATATTGCACTTAATTCTTACTTAATACTACACAAATCCTTCAAGAATCTGTACAAATTTTCATCCAAACCAAAACTTGATTAAATGTTCTTACCTGAACACTTTCCACTTTAATTCAGTATCTCCATCCATATCTTCTCCAGACCAATTCATCAACCATTACCTCCATTATTGACTTCCTGTCTTTTTTTTCCCCCTCTGTGTTTTTCCCACTCTCATAAACTGCGGTCCCTCTGCTCTGTAAAGCTTACAATCTGATTCAAGTCTGTCTTTTACGACCCCAGCCCTGTGTCGGAGTAGTGGGGAGGGTAAAAAAAAAAACTTCCTCTAGCCACGAATGACCCTGATCTCAGAGTTCAGACTTGAGCAGCGAGCAGTGAAATGAAGACTTGACTCGGGGAGCATGTGAATAACAGTACACCCCCACCCCCCTTTTACAGTCATGTGCACCATTAGTAACATATATGCACTGCTGTGAAGTGTGCTGTGTGAAGCAAGTAGCAAGAACTTTAAAAAAAAATTGCATTATCCAAGTTTAAAGTGCCTATGACAGATTAGACTACTCATTTGACCAAAACACAGTTAAGTTCATTAAATTTCTATCTTCATGGAGACCAAACCAGACCAAGTTACATGTAGAGGCGACCCCAGTCACAGTCAGAACGCCTGTTTTTCTAGGTATGTTTGAGCTATAAAACCACTTGTAATTGAATAAATGTAAGGAAGAGCTGTTTAATGTCAAACTGGGGAACTCTCCAGGCAGAGCAATGACATATCCGTAGAAACAAGCAGAACCCAACCAAAAATTAGGATTGCCAGGAATATTCCAAAGTATGGCATTAAACATACCATATATTTATTCAGTAATATGTGTGTTTTTATTGCTCAGAAATGCATTGAAAAACATACATTCATACTTGAGGGTGGGCTTGCCTTTCCACAGATCTGACCCATAACTTGGACCGGTGGTATTGCTTGCTTGTCTCCATGGAGATAGAGAAGTTGATTGCAAGACTATGAACATTTAGGCAAAGCAATGACATATTCATCACGGGGAAAAGCAGGTGGCGGATCCTCTTCCAGAAAAGCATCAATGCATCTTGAACCAAAAGAAATCAAAATCTGAATCATCAATCTGTCATATGCACTTTAAAAGAGGGCATGTAAAATAAAACTTCATAAGCTTTTTTTAAAAACAGTGTCCCGTCATCATTAGTTTACTCATAGTTGTGTTTATTTATTTATGTATTGATTGCTTGATCGAAGTATGTGTGAGAAATTGAATTCGGGTCAAAGACTTGGTGCAACTAATAGCCATTAAATCTATTCAAGTCTATTAAATAACAGTGTGCTTGTAGCTACAGATCAATGTTTGATACCTCTTAAAGGTCCTATATTACAAAATTGACTCTTGTTCATGTTATAATGTTGTTACCTCATCCAAAAAATAACCAGAGTTGGGTTTTGTTTAATCCCCACATGTTTCAGTAATCCTTTATTATTAGTCTGTTAACATCTCCACAGCTCACAGTCCTCTGTTCCACCTTGTGATGTCATGAATCTGTAGTTTTCAAGTTAACAGCTGCCTTTGACCTTTAGTTCAGTAGAGATTGGTCAGTCTTTTTGTTAGTACTGAAATCAAGTTTAACACAAATCTGTACAGACTATTCAATATAGGCATTATCACAACAGGATATAGACAAGTAACCAAAGAGCTTTTTAGATGCTGTACATTAAGGTAGACTGTGTAACTTTTCAGATGGAGGACCGTCACCGGCTTGTTTTTATGGATATGTCATTGCTCTGCCTGGAATGTGCTACAGTATGACATGAAACAGCTCTACCTTACATTTAATTAAAATGAAAAAAACAGATATTCTGACTGAGTGGGGTTGTCTCTCCACAGCTCTGACCTGTAAATTGGCCTGATTTGATTTCCATGAAGATAGAAAAGATTAATGAAGATAGAAAAAGATTAATGCCATACTGCCATTACAGACAAATCAATAACATCTCCATGGAAGAAACATTTGACAGACTCACCACCAGAAAGGTTACACAATGCACCCTTAAATGCAGTATCGCTATCAGTTACATAATTCAGACATTAAGGACAGAGGTGTCACTTAGACAGAAGCCAGGGGACCTGAGAGCAGATCCGTTTGTCCGACAGGTACACTCCATCTTCTCTCTGTCATAATATTTAACAGTGAGGTTCAGGCTTGTGTCCAAATTACAGCAGTGGGCAGGTAGGGACGAATCCCTTCCACTTTAATACTTACAGCTATAGGTTTGATTCTGCAATATGATCTGCTGAGGTACATTTTAAGAAGAAGCATTTCCAATATGTCAAGTCAGTCTGAGCTCTATTTAAATGTGTTTTGATCTTTTGCAGTTGATACAGTAAAGCGTGCCAGTAATGTTTATGTTAAGAGCAGGATTGGAACTGCCAACATTCAGATCAGTGGACAAACTTTATCAGCTGAGCTTCTGTCACCCATGATTGTCCTTGTGTAACTGTCAGGGACGTCAAAGACAATGGATAGATAAGA